GAATGACCTCTGACATAAAGACCTTTGTTGCAACTTGTGCTGCCTGCAACAAGAATAAGAAACCCAACAGGTATGGGAGATGTCCTATGACCAATTATCACGCTGGTTTACCTATGGAGAGGGTACATTTAGATTTTATGGGACCACTACCCAAGACCAAAAATGGACATGAGAACATCTTGATGCTAGTTGACCAATTTTCTAAATGGACAGAATGTATCCCTTTGCCTTCGCAAACAGCAGAGGCTACAGCACAAGCGGCTATCAATGAACTGTTCTCCAGATTTGGATACCCGTTCGAAATTTTCTCAGATCAAGGTCGGAATTTTGAGAGTTCCTTGTTTAAGGCAGTCTGTGACCTCCTACAGATACATAAGGCCAGGACTACACCATACAGACCTTCTGCTAATGGCCAGGTGGAACGTTAAAACAGAAGTTTAATGGCTGCTGTGAGATGTTTTGTGGACCAACAGCAAGATAGCTGGGATGAACACTTAGCTCAATTAGCAGGGGCTTTAAGGGCGGGCCAGTGTGAATAGGAGTACTGGCTACACTCCTAACAAGATAATGCTAGGACGGGAGACGAATCAACCCGCTGAACTAATGTTTGGTACTGCTGAAGATCACAAGTACACTGGGACTGAAGACTATATAATAGGCCTTGAAAAAGCTATGAAGACAGCGCATGAGATAGCGCGGAAAACCTTAAAGACTACCCAGGCCAGGATGAAGAAGGATTATGACCTTCGAGTATTAGAACGGCAATACGCGCCCGGTGACCTCGTGTATGTTTTAGATACAGCCCAGATAAAGGGGAAGAGCAAAAAATTAAGCTCACCATGGAAGGGGCCTGGCATAATTATTGGTAAAGCTACTCCCTATGTGTACAAGGTAAAACACAAACCATGACAGGTTAAAGCTATGCAAAGACAGGAATATTCCTGCATGGCTGAGAACCTGTCATGAACAGTTTACTCTAGGTATAGATGTTCTTGCCCCAAAAACAAAGACTAGCACTGAACAATACTGTATATGTAGGGGCCCATATACTGGTGAAACTATGGTGCAATGTGACCAATGTAAAGAATTGTTTCATCTGACCTGTATAGGTATATCTGTGATTGAGGTGGAAGAGATAGACATCTATACTTGTCCTAATTGTTCGTTAACTGATAGACAGCTACCCCTGTAAATAACGGGGTATAACTGGTCATAAATAAATGCTAATGTTTTAATCTTTGTCTTTCCAGAATGTCATACAAGGGAGACAAAGAAATGAAAAAGGTAGAGGAAGATCCCAAGTTTGGAGGTAGGTCTGACTAAAACAATAATGTTACATTACAAACTGGGACCCTTCAACCCAGATTAGGACGAGGAACCACCATGGAGGGCATCGGAGGAACATATGAGTTGGTATCGGGTGTGGGCTTCGTGCTAGTGGAGGAGGCCTCCACATCCAGCACACTCCAGGTCCATGGTGGACAGGCAACCTTGCCTCCACTTAAACAAGCAGCCTTGCCTCTAGTTGAAGATATTTTAGAGGAGGAGGTAGGTGACAGTGCACCTGTAGCTGATCCTGAGGGGATCTACGATTATTATAGGTGCCCCAGAAGTGGCAAGATGGAACGAACATATATCCTGAGCCAAAGAGACCAACACTGCCCTGTGCGCGGCTGTCCTTTGTTGACAAGAGGTGTCAAGAGACACGTGTTGGAGGAACATCTATCCTACATGTTTGCCCCTACACAAGAGCCACATATCATGAGGGATCCCGGTTTCCGTCGGTACAGGGGACATATGGTTATGGTTCTGGCACAGTGGCTCACTGGTCAGACCGTCGCTACCTTTGATGACTTGGTGAGATTTCTAAGGAGACATGCCAGCGTGTCTGTTGGTTACCCCCAAGCAGGGGAGGAGATGCCTGTCTTCAGAACAGTCTGTAGGGAGATGGGATGGCCTACACAGGCTTGGTTCAAGATACAGCCGGTGCGTGACATCAGCAGCCCAGTCTGCATCTTGCATTGGAGGGTCATGTCCTGTGTCATCCACTTCCTGACGCCGTCGCATCAGGATATGATGTTCACAGAAAAAATAAAGCAAGAGGGAGGATAACCTTAGCCTTGAGGTGCTACAGAAAATGAATAAGATGTTCTTAGCCACAACAGTGATAGACAGCTTGGTCCCCACTGAGACGAGTCAGGCAGTTGTGCTTCTCTCCCTGAGAGAAGTTTCGTTATGGATACCCCAGAAGTGGTAGAGCACCCCTGTGCCGCCGCGGCAATGGTTACAACTGAGGAGGCAGCCTTAGTTGAAGAGGAAGAGCCTGAGGAGAGGTTAATTGTTGTCCTACAACACCAGGACGACCGCCGCATGGTGCCAGTGTATTCCTTAAGGAATTTAAGGGTATTGGCAGAGGACAGGTTTCAGGGCAATGGCTGTGCCACCCTCTTCTTACAGGGTATGCTAATAGACCCCTTGTTGACTCTGATGGACATTATTCAGAATGAGCCGCCTAGGCCTACGATAGAGATCCGTTTCCTGGATTCTACAAACCTCTAGTAGAACAATACGGCATTAAACGGCTGGCCCTTGATGGGCGTTACTGTGTGTAACAGCTCCGGGATGTGAGACAGGATATACCATCAACTGATGAATTAGTTGATCTAATCATAAATGAGGAACATTTATGTGTTGTTAATATCGAACATTTATTTTATATGTGACATTATAATTATATATATACATGTGCATCAACAGTGACAGATGAATAAATATGGAACTTTTTTATGGAATTATAGAAGAATATATGTGGATTTTGAACTTATTAATGGTAACAACTTGATTGTGCAACTTTATATATGGATATTTTTTATGACAATTGCAATATTCCGTCGAGTTAAAGACTGTTGAAAGGATATATTATAGTATTCAGAAAATTTTAAATGTTCGCCTCACATCCCATGTACAGTGTATAATTCGTTTGGAGTAGATCAACCGACAAGACTTGGTAGTACCATCATGACCAATGTAAATATTAGTTTTTAAGTAGTTTATTAGTTAATTCGGTGATGGTGGGATTTGGACCAGAGGTCAATTTTTATGGTCATGAGCTGCTATCCCAATTTTGGGAGTGAATGCCTTCTTTTTTGTATATTTTGTTTTTTCTTGTCGGGTTGATATTTTTATAAGGGAAATAATTTACGTAGTAGTAGTCAAAATTGGAAATTCAGTGTGGTAGTAATGAATTTGTCTTCAGGACAGTATTTGATTGAGAATGTTTTGTTAATATTTACGTGTAAAGTTGCGTAAGATTATAATTATTTTATTGTGGCTAAGTAAGTCAACTGTAGGTTTCCTTGAAAGGAATTTGAAAAGATTGTTATAGCAATTCTGTGTTTTAGTGATAATTCCTAAAGTTGTACTTAACAATTCCTAGGTGTAATTAGTAATAAGGAAACTGAAATGTATAGCTTATACATTGTTCCCAATGTTAGACAAGTAATGGGATGGTTGACGATCTATTTAATTCTGGAATAGTTTTAAATGTTTAACTGTTTATATTAGTTTTATTTTTTCTAGGAAAAGTAAAATATTTTTTTTTATCCATATCCAGGATTTATGGGGTTGAAAATTTTAAGATACCTTGTGTCATGGTTGAGTTAATAAAAGACATTGCCAGTCTTCCCCAGGGGAGTTATCAAGTTTTATAGTGTCCTTTGTCGGAACTAAAGTTCCTCCTTTTTAAGATGGAGGGGGTGTTGTGTAATTGCCCCATAGATCTAGGGGGTTTCCTCTGTCTGGTGTGATCTACTGGTAGAGAGCAGAGAGACCCAAATGGAGACGTACATGGACTGGTAGAGAGCAGAGAGTCCCGAATGGAGACATGACATAAGAGTCACGCCTGACCACGCTCAGCCTCTTCTTGACCTGTATCAGTTACAACAAGACGATACTCAAAAGACTAAAGACAATCCTTGTAGGAAACCTCAACCTTAAGGTAAATATCCTCACATATTTACACCTGTATGTAGCATAATCCTCGGGGTATACGCAGAGCCCAGCTATACAGGCCAAGTAACACTTGAATAGTATGCCTTTTATCTGTTATAAAGTATCTGACAAAGAACCAGTTTTAAATTATCGATCGCAAGTAAACATGTCCACTTAATATTTGTTTTTATCTTCTTTTCTTGTTTTTTGTTTATTACTTTGATCATCAAAGTTGGATTTAATTTATTTTGTACAGAATGATTTTACTTGTCCCGTTGGACAAGTTTGATATGGCTTTTATTTGTCCGATCTTGTTTTCGTCTGGTACCGGACAATCGGACTAGTACATCAATTGGTGCATCCAATGTTGCAGGTTACTGACACTGCCATGATAAGTAGAAAATGCGCATTTGCCATGTTGTGTAAATCCAGTCTAAACAAATATATCCGTATTTTATCCCTCTATAGAAGGGTAATCACGCTATACAGGTATTATCACCATATACACCTTATCGCTATTTAGTCCAATCCGGAAAAAACAGTCATTTAGACAACTTCCTGTTTGGGTCAACAGGCCTTGAACAGGGAAACAACAAAGGTCATCAGTAACGAGCTGAGGGAGGGAAAAATTTAGAAAGCGATCAATAGGAAACTTTGATAGATTATGATCCACTTTTTCGAAACTCAAATTATAGTCAAAAAATATTTTGTTTGAAGTATTTACGATGTTTTAAACAGATCTCATTAAAAAGTATCATGCATGGTGCATTGTTTAAACAGGGCACCAGATAGCTTCAACTGGATGAAAAAGTTGTGTAATTTTAGAGCTTATCCGGAATGGAATAAATAGCGATTAGGTGTATAGGGGGTTTGGTCCCAACCTTTTATGATCAAGACAGACCAGGGAAATGCCGAGGTTTTTTATACGGGCATGGACAAGACTTCACTTTTGAAGGTTTAATAGACACAGGTTTGTAAACACCGAACTTTTGCAGGGGTAGTGGACTTACTCAAAAGTACAAAGGTGGTAATCGCATCAAAGGTCTTTGGATATACCGGAAGTCTGGATTTGACACGGTGACAGCAGCGAGTAAGTTCTTGCCAGATTTACCTTAGATAGGATTAATGGTACAGCAAATACCATTCAACCAATTAAAATGAAAGCATGCAATGACGTACATAAAATAAACTTGATTTATGCCAATCACGTGTTAAGCACAACTACTTGACATTAGACAAACGGAAAATTTAGTCAGGAATGACTATAAATATCAAAAACTTAAAGAACATGGTAAAATGGTTGTAAGAACCAGGGGGAGGAGCGGGCAATTGCCCCATTTCAAAAGTGTGCAAAGAATTATAAACTTACAGACTATTAGACTCTTTTTCGTTTTTGTTTGCTTCTGACTTTCAGAAGGGAATTTGAATGTCCCTTTGGTATCTTTCGCCTCTCTTTTATAAGAACATTTCCGAATACAATACTAGTTGTATAGATATTATCTGAGGTTCAGCGGTATATAAAAATCGTATTTTCTATACAGAAGAATTACTTTTACATTACTTTCAGTATTTGAAAATATTTTTTTTATAAGGCAATGTTTTAGATCGAGACTATGTGTAATTTGTTGTCTGATAAAATCGAAAGAATTGCATGCTTACAAATTTTATGATCAGTTCCTTGATTTTATAAACATTTTATTGTAAAAATACATGGATGGTACCAGCGGGATTCGAACCCCCAATATGGGGATCTTAAGGGCAGCGCTCTAACCGACAGAACCAAAGAAGATCTCCCATAACTTAACCAGTTAGACAACCTTTATATCTCAATTTATACAACACTTTTGTTTATCAAAAAGTGGAAACCTGAGTGCATGCTACAAGATAGTTTAATCCTGACATAGTCATGTTCATGTGCTTGTCCAAAGTATTTGATATCGTCAGTGGTTGTCTTTGGATATATGTCTTTATGTTTAATTGGCATTTTATAGGGTGTTTGCTATATTTGGTAGCTCTTTGGTCATTTCCTAAATGTATCCACAACTTTCCTATTATAATTTTGGTAATTTTCTTCTCATCTTTCTTACTCAGCGAAAGAAATTGATGAAATGCTCCTCTATGTACCAGGACACAGAATAGTATGCAGTGTAGATGGAGGATACTACTCAATGTCTATTGTCAAAGTTAACTGGTGAATCCACAGACTGTGTAAATGCAACGTTTTTAACCTTGATGTTCTTCTATAAAAACCCATTTAAAGGTTTGGTGTAAGAAAATGAAAAAGTATAAAGACAGCATTCTTTCCCCCATCCACGATGATCTTGTAAAATCAACAAGCATGCTTCCTTTTTTTTTTTAAATCGCTAGGCTATAGTCAGAACCAAAATTTGACAACAATGATAATTCTTCACATGTGTCCTAACAATCAAGTAGTGCAATATTCAAACGATGCATGCAATATATGAAAATAAACTTAATGATCTAAGAAAACAAAAATTTTGTAATAAAATTGGATTTATTGCAATACATCCTCAAAATGTAGACATTACACAGACTTACTGACGGAAAAAGCATTATTTTCATTACGAATTGATTGTATTTTAAGAAATCTATTAGTTTTACTTAGTGTTTACATTGGAATGTTTAGTTCTGTTACGCGGTGGCAAAAATAACCAGCTCAGTTATAACTATGTTTTATGTATATTTAAATTTTTAGTTACAAAACACAAGATGCAGAAGACTTTGCAAATATGGATGGAATTTTAAATTGAGATTTGTGAGGATATTGTTGCTGTTTTTCTGTCTCGGTATGATAGACAAGTAAGTTTTATTGGCTTGCATACTTAATATAGAAAGCGTGACAAAAATACCGAGCTCCAAGGTAAATTAAAAAAGGGAAGTCCATAAAAACTGACAAAATCAAAGTCATCAATCAACAGAACGAGTGAAAAAAAAAACCCCAACATATTCTGACTTGGTACAGGCATTTTACGACGAAAATGGTGGGATAGCTAGCTTAACCTCCCACTTGTATGACAATTGTTCATAGTTCCGTAACTTCCGTTATATTGACAAAATTGGGGAAGCAACCCAAACATACATAAGTGACAATATTGGTATCCAGCAGCCCAAATTGTGTAAACATACATCACAACTAACTAAAAATTTAAAACAAAAATACAAATAAATCTAAGAAAGACGCCAACAAAAAAGGTGTTGTACTCGATAATTTAACAAAGACGCCAACAAAAAAGTTTTTGTAGTTGATAGAATATTGACGACGCCGATGAAATTTAAAGTTTTTGTAGTTGATAGTACGTGACGTATATAGTATACACATTCTCGATAAAGTACAAAAAAAGACTTTAACGGAGATATGTGGTACAATTGCCATCTATCCACAAGAGATCAAAGGCCGAGGATTTGCACCGCGATAAGTGGTCATGCACTGTACGGCTTTTAACAACGAGCAACACTCGCATCGAAGAGCCAGCTATTAAGAATCGGCATAACAAAACGTGAATCAACTCAAAAGAAAAAGCCGACGTCCTGATATATGCTAAAACAATAAACAAAAAACGAAGACTGATAATCGATAACAACTGAATTTCAGGCTCCTTATTTTGGACAGACATAAAAGGAATGTGGCTGGGTTAAACCCTTATATAATCATGCACCAGGTATACGAAATATACGACATTTCGAGATAACTAATGAATTAAATATATGAAATACCAGATTGTATGATTATCTGTGCGTCAACTTATTTTACAGATATTAAAAACTTAAAATAACTTATTTTTGTCTGACCGTACTGAAATAAAGCATGCAATCACGAGATCCGTAGTAAAGATATCACTATAAAAAGAATTTGGGTAATAAGCAATTGAACAAGCAACCATAAAACACGAAGCAAACATCTTTACAATGTAACAACACGCAAATGACTATACAGCTCTAAACCACAAACAGTCCAGACAAGACGTCAATAAATTTAACAGTAATTCAAAAATGAGAAATTTCCGGAGACAAATATCCACAATGATCTACCAGAGACCAAATGACAGGGAGGTTAGTTTAGTATGGGTGAGTTGAGGTGGATACATGCATAGTTGTAGTGATATCTTATAAAAAAAAAGTGCAGGTTTATATATTGGGTAACACGAACCTAACAGAAACATTCGTAAACGTCAAGACCTTCAGAAATTACATTTTTCAAAGCACCAATAAGTTTACATTAATCATAACTAATGTTAAAAACTAGGACGCAATATCCCGTTGATGATATTTGCCTACACTTCGAAGAAGACTTTTATTTATTAAACAGTGTTTATGTATTAAGTAGTGTACATGGTGATAAAATCCCTGACTTAATTAACAGATAAGATTACATTAACTGAACATGCTGAAACACAAGACATCACCACACACAATAGTACAGCCAATTCCTGCGAAATATACACACTATAAGAAGGGCCATAGAAACATCACCTTCCAAAATGAAAGGTAACAGTTTGGCAAGAAAAAGCATTTCTTTTGTCGCAAATTTTAGGACAGAGATTCCCTATTTCAATACTAGTATTCAAGAAATTGGCAATTATTGCTCTAATATTAAATTTAATTATAGTAAGTTCCATGGAGTAAATGTCTGCAGTATTATATAAAAGTAAGATATTATTTATTACATACGAAAGAAGCCTATTAGGGTCACACAAAAAAATAAATATTTATCTCGTAATTACGAGATAAATATCTCGTAATTACGAGAGAATTATCGCGTAATTACGAGAAAACTATCGCGTAATTACGAGAAAACTATCGCGTAATTACGAGATAAAATAAACTGCTTTGCTGAGCGCAGCTGGATACGCCCGCAGAGGTCCAACCCTGAACAGTTGGGGCAAGAATGGACACAATATTCAAGCTTGATACTGGTCTGAATTTGAATTGTAATTAAATATTTGACATATTATAGGTTTCTGAATAAATGTAGTCAAAGAACTTGAAATTGGTTATATGAATTGAATTTATATTCAATTAAAGATTTCTGGTTGTTGTGCAATACACTGTGCTGTTGCGCAATACTTAGTAAATCTGTTGTCAGACTATAAACAAATAAAGTTCAAATAATTCTCAATGTCATATTAGAAATTTATGTAAATGTAAAGGGAGCTTACATCAATAGATAAAAACTATTCACCAAAGTTTCATGACAATTGCTGACAGCATTTTTGAGTTATTGTCCGAAGTCTGGAAAATCACCCCTTTCTTAATGAATAAAATCCAATTACTCAGAAATGATAAATGAAAAATTTATAAAATTCTAAACAGAGCTTACATCAATAGATATAAACAATTCAACAAAGTTTTATAAGAACTGCTGAAAGCATTTTTTATTTTTTGTCCGAAAACTGGAAAATCCCCCTTTTTTTATGAATAGAACTCCATAACTCGGAAACGTAAAATTTAAAATTTATAAAAAACGAAAGGGAGCTCACGTCAATAGACATAAACCATTCACCAAAGTTTTATGCAAATTGGTTAAAGCGTTTTTGAGTTAATTTCCGACATGTTGATGACGGACGGACAGACGAACAGACGGCAACAGTATACCATAATACGTCTCGTAAACGGGCGTATAAAAATGATTATCTCGTAATTACGAGATAAAAAAATGATTATGTCGTAATTACGCGATAGTTTTCTCGTAATTACGCGATGATTATCTCGTAATTACGAGATAAAAACTGATTATTTCGTAATTACGCGATAGTTTTCTCGTAATTACGCGATAATTATCTCGTAATTACGAGATAAGAAACTTCTTATCTCGTAATTACGCGATAGTTTTCTCGTAAATACGCGATAATTATCTCGTAATTACGTGACAGTTATCTCGTAATTACGCAATAATTGTCTCGTAATTACGCGATAGTTTTCTCGTCATTACGCGATAATTATCTCGTAATTACGCGATAGTTTTCTCGTAATAACGAGATATTTATCTCGTAATTACGCGATAAATTTTTTTTTGTGACCCTAATAGGCTTTCGTAGATTTGACACCGTATTTTAAATTCTTTTA